ACTTTTAATCCCATTTGACCTTTAAAAAAATTATTTTTGATAATTAACCAACAAGTATAGCAGTTGTACTGCTGCTCAATATATTTTATACACAATGTAAGCAAGCAATATTACTAATAATAATAAAATTTGGATTTACCTTTGTATATAAAGCAGTCATAGACAATGAAGACATATTGCAAATAGCTAAGACTTGTGAGAGTGCAATGTACAAGGTATTTATAATATATAATAATAAAAGGTGAAGAATTATTTTGATTTTGATGGGATAAAACCATACAAGTCATCCCTATTATTTTTTAAATTGCATAATTTAACTGGTTGGAACCATACAAAAACTAGATTGTCACTGTTGCACACTAAATATTTTAGAGCAACCACATCACAAGAATTTTGATTTTTTTCCCCACTACATATAAACACTTCAATTTTGATTAAGAATTTGCACAGTCGATTAATACAGACATAACTTCTTTTTTAATAGGATGGACTGAAAAACCTTACTCCTTCAATACTTTAATGCGGAAAACAATGCTAAAAATTTTGAAAAATAAAAGAAATAATTTTTGTAAGTTTTTTTAAAGTAACTTAGCTATTAAAATGCTACTGTTCAGTGTAGTAAAACAGAAATGATGCAAAATTAAAAAAAAAAAAAATACTAATCAGGTGATAAACTTCACATGAACTGAAATTGAAAAAAAAAATTCACCAGAAATTATTATTATTCACTTAACTGCATATTTAACATATAAACTCACATAGTTAATTAAAGTATTGCTTTAAAAAAAAAAGAAGAAAGAAAAACATATTTTGCCTGATATAAAATTTTGAAAGAAAACAAATTGTTGTTAAAAAAAGAAATATTTATTGTAAGTTTTTCAAGATCTTAAAAGGCAATGTGAAAAAGGAATAGAAAAATTTGATGTCATTCTCTTCTTCTTCAAAATACAAAACTTTTCAGCACTATAGTGACAGCGAATAAAATAAATGTTTTTCATCCCATCCTAATAAGCATTCAGAGAGAACACAGATGCATGCAATTGTAAATGAAACATTGCAACAAATTTGGAATTCAAACCTGAGAATTAAGCTTATAATTTAATAAGCATTGTCGATTTATAATACATCAGATATAAATATGAATTTGATTTACACCAATTTTGATTTCAAGAAATATATCTTTAATAATTTCAACTAAACGAGAGGTAATAAGCGAACAACAGAAGAAAAAAAAAATTACAATCAAGTTGAAACTGTCACTAAAATCTACAAACATGGAGGTGACAATAAAAAAATTAACAATACTAAACACTTAAGTAATTTTCAATTACTATAATAAAAGGACTAAAAATCATTGCGTAAAAAAGGACAATTTAATACAATTCAACATGGATTTTGATTTCAAATAACTAATAACATGAATTTATTTTTCTTTCTTAAAAAAGAAAAATGTAACAAAAGTATATTACCATAATAAAATTGAAATGCATGATTAAAATTTAAAACATTAAAACAAAGGTATCAGCTAATATAGACAATAATTATTCTGATTTCCATTAAATTCATTCTTTGCATTTTTGAAAACATTTGTACTTTATGCAACATGTATTGTACACACTATGATGATTAACAGCAGACTGTCAAAACATTCACAACAATATATGTAGAGAAGAAAAGGACACCACAAACATTTAACAACTCCTAATATAGCACAACACAAACAATAAAGGAATACATAATAAAAATACATGGGAAATACATGTGAATGAGCTATACACAAAATTTATGTACAGAAATGTATACTGGCTTTTCAAGGGAAAATATATGAAAACAGACATTACTTTGATTATTTTGGTATTGAATGAGTAACAGGTAATTATTAGGTACATACATTATTTACTTTTTTGAAGAATATTTAATATTTATAAATAATAAATATTAATCTCATAATATTGCAAAATATTATTTTTTCAGAAAAAAAATGCTTTGCACTCCCAGATTTTTTTTAAAAAATAATTGCTTTACTTTTACTTCTAAAACTAAATTTTTGCCAGTGAAATAATACAGGCAAAGTAAAGCATTTATTTATTAATTATAGTTTTCAGAAGTAAAATAAACTAGATTAAAATATCATTATCAATACTCAATGATGCTTTAAATTTGTTTCCTTTCAGTAAAACTTAGTAATTAAAAAAAATTGAATATCTAGGCTTCATAAATTATTTAAAGAAAAACTAAATTAATAAAATTAAGAAGAAAAAATACAAGTCCTGCTATAGGGCAATTTCACAGAACATGCAGGACAACAAGACATATACTGCTTGAGGTTTTTAGAGATATTAATGTAACTATTTCAATTCATATTTGGTACAAAGAAAGTAAGAGAAAAATCCTTACAATATACTTTTTTTCCTTTTAACATGCATATCTCATATTACCAGCAGTGAAATTGCCCTATGATATTGTGGAAAAAATCAATGCAAAAATGTTTTTACTGAATATATATGTTTTTTTAAAAAAATAAATAAAAGAGCATATTGACATAATTGCAGTGTTTCTCAACATTTGCCGATTATGATCCAAAGTTTTTTTTTTTTAAAATTCTGATATTCTATTTTAAATTTGCATAGCTTTTAGCATAGATATATTTAATTAAATCTTAAATGAAAACTTATTTAAGAGAACAAAACAAGTTGCAACTGATCGCCAGTGAGAAATAGGATTACGATGAGAAACACGGATATGGTATTTTAATTTTCTGCTAAAAACTATATCAGAGGGAAAGTAAGAAAAAACTACTTATTCTAAACAAATATAAGTCAGCTAAAGCAATATTCAAATAATTTGCATAGGTAGTTACTGAAATAATACATAATCATAACAAAGTGCAATTCTGTTATTACACTAACTTGAATCTCAACAAACTAGCTGCAATACCATAATGCATATATACATATATGCAAACTCCATTATTTTATTATAATCATTTTTGTTAAATCTAGAGTCAGCACTGGAATCATATCACAAGAGTTGAAATTGATTTTACTATAATGGATTAAGGCATTAAGAGGGATGCAGCTGATAAAGATTCTACAATTAACAATTATTCATAACAAAACTGGTCAACTTATTAAAAATAAATATCAAACCCGTAATTTCCATAAAACTGCATGGGTTAAAAATTTTTAAAATTAAAAACACACCCAACAGATAAGAAAATGAGCATGACTTCTTTTTCTTAATGAAAAGTGAAATAGATACTTGATTTGTTTTAACAAAAGACTGATGTGTTTCAATTAATTATTTTTTTATAAAATTCCTTAATTAAGCTTAAATTGTGATATGTATATCTTTAAAAAAATAATTAAAAATCAGCATTAAATTTGAGAAATATATTTTTTAATGTATTTATCAATGACAGGAATGTTTGTTATTTGAAATAAAAATTTTTAAAGCTTTTTCATAATGTATTAATAATTTGAAATAATACAATAACATAGCATGCAAACATGGAAAGGGAAGAAAAAAGAATCTAGTAGATTTTATGAAATAATATAAATATCTTAACTATTTAGCTTAGTATCTTAACTATTTTATATACAGGGAACTATTAGGATTGGTCAATAAAATACAAAACCTATATTACACAACTCAAAATTTAAGTTGATTTCAATATAAAGTAGTGACAGATATTTAATTCAACATTTAAGTAACTCATAACATGTTTAAATCAATTAAAAAGTTGAGATTGAGCAAAAAATTTGAATATCAAGAAGAAAAAAAAGAAATGATTCAAACCAATCAGTATCTTTTAAATATAGCAATAATATTTAAATACTCATGCAAGTAACAAATTGAGTAAAAAATCTATTTTGATAGGGACTTATTTTTAAACTTTTCTTAGGACACTTCTAAGTTTGAGAGAATTTTCTAAAATATCCAAATATTAGAAAAATGTTCAATTAAAATAGAAAACTTGGAAAAATAGAGAAAATGAAAATTCAATAGTGTTGACAGCAATTCTATAAAGATAATTAAATGAAAAAATGATTGTATTATAAAAGAAATTAGATAAAAACTACAAATTTTGCTACTTAAGTTTAAAACCAAAAACTAATTTTCAGCATAACATAATTTACGATAAATTGTCATTTTTTGGATTTATATTTAACATAAAATTAAATGTAAAAAATAACATAGGAATAAATATTCTTTTTTAAAACAAACACTCCTGTAATTTTCATAAAATGCAAATAAAAATAGTTTTAAGATTAATTAAAACATTAAATAATGAACAAATATATAATCATTCATATTATTAAGATTTCATAATCAATAAATAATCATAGTCAAATTCATAATCATAGTCAAATAATCAATAAAAGTTTAACCACTATATAAATCCATAAAAGCTAAATATATTCTTACTAATAGTGGGTTCTGTAAAACTTGTAATACAAAATGCATTTATGTAATGTACAATGTCATTTTTTTCTTTCTGTCACTGCAATTCTAAGAACCATCAAATACTCTATTAATTACACATATCTTGAAATATTACATTAAAACAAACTTTACAGTCGGACTTTTATAAAAAACAAGATGAAAATAACTAGAAATTGTTATACATTTAAGTTATTAGATCAATAACACTAACATAAAAAAATTCACATCAAAATAGGAATAACATTTTATATCTTTGTTTGCGAGAACTGTAAAGTAATTAATGAAAATGACTAGAGTTCAGTTCTAAGAGATCAATAATTTTCAGATTTTTCTAAAAAAAGAAAGAAATTTTGAAAAAAAAAAAAAAAAACTCAAAGCAGATCAGAAATTTTAAAAACAAGTTTCAAAACCGAAAATAATTATCAAACATAACAGCTTTTTTTTAAAATTTACATGAATAACATAAACCTGAATTTAATTATAAAACAAGGATAAATTAATGTATTAATTTAAATAAACTATTAATACAAGAACTGAACCCTAAATCCATTTTCCAATACTTTACCGAGGTAGAAAAGGGCATGCTTAAAGCAGAAATGAGGTAAAATATTTAAGTAATAAAAAATGTTTGAATATGACTTTATTGTCAATGAAAAATTTGAACCTGAAAACTAAGGTTGAGGTATTTATTTGACAGTTCATGTCATTTTGTAAAGTAGAATGATTCTTTTCTTGAATTAATCTGAAATGAAATATAAAGTATGGAATTTAATATAAAATACCCATTCAAACCCTATGGACTTTTAATCATGCCCAAACTTCAGTTTTGCTATCAGTTAAAAGGCAAATATGTTGACTTTGTTCTCTAAGAGAGAAAAAAAATGATCATGATCGTTTGATTTAATGAATACAAATCATGAAGAGACGTCTATGCTTTACATAGGATAGTTCATAATTGTTTTGCAATTTCGTACCAGGAAGTACTCTGAGACGTAACTAAACTAATCTAACATCCTTCAAGCAGGAGTTAAGGTGAATGCAACAGTGAGTTTCTCTGAAACTTTTTGACTAACAGGAAGAAACACCATAGCTGGTACAAATATGTTTTGCTTAGTAGCTTCATCAGGTTTAGGTTCAGTCAGATGAAAAGGCTGCATAATCACATCAGAATTTGTAGGCAAATAGTATGGCACAGGCAATGGTGCTCCTTCAGGAAGACCAGAGCTTAAAAGAGCAGCTCTCTCATCAGTTTCCTTGGTACACAAGGAGCTTGTACCATTCTCTGGACCTTTGTGATCGACTTTTCGAAAACTGTGATTCAACATTGCTTTTTTGGATGGGCTTTGCGAATCACACTGGTTTGAAAGGCCTTTTTTAACTTTATGCATAACCTGAATGTGATGCAAACATTTCGTTTTGGTTCGGAATGTCTTGTCACATTTACTGCAGCGGAATCTTTTCAGCTTAGGTCGCAAACTGTTCTTTGTTGAAACTTCATTGTTATTCCCTGAGAGATCAAAGCCGTTAGCAGAATCATCGTGTGTACCATTTTCAAAATTAGGCATCTTTTTCCCGATTGGTAATGATGTTCCATGGCTTAAATGATGAGTATGGTAGTCATTTTGATAATAAGTTATACTGCACACTATACATGATATCATCTTATTTTCTAAACTATTAATAGGAGAATGCTTTTCATTATCTTCTAAATTTACAAATGAACAACATGGGCAAGGTAAAATTCCTGCTGTAAGAGCTTCTTTGGAATCTTCTGATTGTGAAAGTAGATTTGGGAAAGCTTTAGAATCATTACATTTTACATGTTTATTAACCAGATGTACCTGCAGTGCAAGTTTGTCATAAAATACTTGACCACAAATTTCACAAGACAAGGTACTACCATTGCTTCTTTTAGAAATAAAATCATCATTTCCTAGAGATTCTTTACTTGTGTTATTCATTTTAGTCGCCTGTGATAGGTTTGTAGGCAATTTTTTGTCATTCATAGACAAAGTGCTACCACACGACGGATTATCACTAGCCGTGAGCATTTTAGTGGACTCATCAACAATTCCATGGACATTCTGTTTATGAACTTTTAAAAAGTATTTGCTACACAAAAATTTCTGACAAATGTCACAGTAAACACCACCAGTTGAAGCAGGCCAACGTTCAATCAGTGCTTTATCAACATCTATTCCATGCATTTTCAGCATATGCGTTTTCATGAAATACTTATTACACAGCTCCTTATTACAAATCTGACAGAAGCTACTGCCACTACTTTTATGACGCAAACCTTGATAATAAATGTATTCACTGTCTCCATTATCAATATGAGTTTCAAGACCAGGAGGAATAATGCCATGAGCTTTAAACTTATGGGACAAGAGGGCAATGCGATCTGAAAACTGTTCAGGACAAGCATCACATACCAAATTACTTGCTTCAATTGCAGCATTACCAACTATACCATGATCAGATTCAGCATGGGTCAAGAAACTTTTTTGATCTTTATACTTTTGAAAGCATAAGTTACAACTGTAGGTAACAGAATCATTGGAATTATCCATTTCTTTCAGAGACTTTTCATGAGGAACTAGGCTGCCATTTTCAAGATTTGGGCCATTTCTCTGACTGGCAAGATCCAGAGAGACATCCTCTTCCTCTTTCAAAGAGGCACCGTGAACTTCTAACATATGGTTTTGAAATGATTCTGCACTTGTGAAGTTTTTCATACAAGGTGTACACATTTGGCCTTTGAACTCTTTGGATTCATCAGTTTCATCAGTATGTGATACTTTTTCACTCGTTTCTACTTTTCCAACCTCTGAAAATTCAGGAAATTCATTACTCATCAATTTAGCCGAGACATGCTTATTTATCATGTGAGCATCGAGGTAACATTTTTCACAAAACTCTATATTACACAATTCGCATAAGAACTTTTCAGTTTTTTTTTCTTTAGAATTAATACTATTTGTGTTTTTATTCTGAGATGTATGAGGACTAGAACCATTCAGAAGAGGTAGGCTACAGTTTAACGAATTTTTGATATTTTCAATACTAACATTAAGAGAGTCTTCGTCTTTGGTTATGTTTCCAGTAGAATTATCAGTGGACTTAGATTCTTGACTGACTGATCTGATTAATGGCAAAGGCGATGATATAACAGGTACATGTATACTGCTAGGAATATTTGGATTTACATCATCAAAAAGACCATGAATATTCTGCCTGTGTTTTTTCAAAAAATACTTGTTACAGAAGTACTTCTGACATATATTACAATAGGAATCAGCAGATCCAAATGTAGCCCCTGTTTCACACATTTGAGTAATCATTTGTTGGGCTGCTTGTGGATTCAAATGCATATTTTTATACGAGAGTCGCTGTCCACCATAGGCACTGGGACTACTTTCATTAGAGCATATTCCATGTTTATTTGCTTTGTGAGTTTTGAGAAAATACTTGTTGCAGAACTCTTTTTCACACAATTCACAATAAGCTTCAGGGTTAAATACTCTAACACCGCTGGATGTTACAAAACTGCGCTGTGAAACTGACAAATTTATGTTACCCTGCTGTAAAGGAGATGAAAAATCTGAAAAGTTATAAATATTTGCAATTTTTGTGGCATCATTGGCAATATCTACAGGGTTGTAGGTAGCTAAAGAACTAATGTTAGGATATATATTTTGTGTGGGGTTCTTGTACTCATTGGAAACAACATCTTCACCAGATTCAGGAGAACTGAGATCTGTCAAAGACTGTAAGGAAGATTCTTTACTTTTGCTGCTTATTCTGGCAGCTTCTTTAACTTTGTTGTTAAGTAAGGCATTTGTGACACGAGAAAGGGTACCTTTCTGAGATGTTGGTTCAGTTCCTTTGTTTTTATCAGTCAAATAGCTTTGATTCTGATTCAACACGCTTTCCTCAAAATCATAGGTATTTTGGTTATTTATAGATTCTGATTGATCCACCATCTCATAAGCAGATAAATCAAATTTTGGAGAAGGTGGTGCATTTTGAATCTTTAATGGATTACTTTGCTTACGCCGTTTCTTTGCTTTAGGTTCACAACTTACAGCAGCATCCTGAGGAACAGGGGAAGATTTGTCAATTGAAATAAATGTATTCAATGTAATACTTGCATCGCCATCAGTTGAAGCATCACTTTGCATATTTGGAGAAACAGATGCCAGTTTTGACTCGCATTCACCTTCAACACTCATTTTTTAAGCATTAAGAAGTCAATTATGGACAAGTCAGCAAATTTCAAACACTACACTAATATCTGAAAAAGAGAATGCAAATAAAGAAATTTAGAATAATACAGGAATTTTATAATTTGAATTAAACTCAAAACAAGTCAAACATTAAACGTTCATGAAAACAATACTAGACTTATATTCACACATTTTTTATTAGCTACCTTCAATAGCCAATTGGTTTACTTTTGTAATGAATCTGCTGATGAAGACCTTGGAATTTTTCGCATTGCTATAAGCATTTTATATTCATATGCTAAAAGAAACTTCTCTTTCGAACATGCATATTGAGGAGGGATTGCTTAGCAGTCAGCATCACCTATTTTCTAAGGTTCACATTCAGATTTTAAAAATAAAATTCCAAGAAAATTTCTACAAATCCCAGATTACATTTCTGCAATACACGGCAATATTTCAATAAAAATAATTTTTTTCTTTATTCCATAAGCAATTAAACTAACTTTGTGAAGTTAAAAAAACAGTATAATTGAACTGCAAATTATAGTTAATTTAACTTTGTACAAGGAGCTGATGTAATCGCCAAATGGATTTCCAATGACCAAAAAGCTGAAGCTGATATTTCACAAGTATGAATTGAAAGTATGATATCTTAAGTAAAGAGCTGTAAAAATTCCCAAGAATTATAGAATAAGTTGAAAGAAATATATGAATTGAAAGGTCCTGCCAGCAAAGCAACAGTGCTGAAGCAACTACTCCTAACAAAAATGAGCAAAGCAAAACTAATGAGCGACTATAGAGTTCTTCACCCTAGTGGATAAATTGAAAGAACTTGAAATTAATATTGACAATGATTTACTGACTCTTTTACAGCCATATAGTAACCCTGACTGACATAAATATTACCAAATAGCTATAAGATCAAGAGATGACCGGACAGAAAAATCAGCTGTTCTTAATAATAGCAGAGAATTGCCGAAAGGCTGAACAAAACAGCAGTTGAAATGGCCAGATCAGTACTTTTACAATTTGGATGAGTTTTTGGGTCCTAGTTGAAAACTGCGCAACAGATATAAAAAATCCACTTCTTACTAACAACGCAATTTATAATTTAACTGATTATGAACTGATTTTTGAAACCAAACCTATTTCAAAGAAAGTTTATGTCTTGAATAAACGCGAAAATGCAAAATTTGATTCCAGATGAAGTGAGCATATTTTTGTCAGTTATTTACAGAAATGAAAGCTTATAGACTGTGGGATAAAAACGTAAAAAAAATAATTGTTTGACCTGATATCAGATTCACTGAAGAGTTTTATACTTAAATTCGATTTTGAACAGCCAAAATAAAGTGACATCAATTCAATTGCGAATTTGACTTCTCCCAAAACACAAGAATGACGCTTTCAATTGTGAAAGATGTGTCGTCAACCAACAGCTCTGAAAATAAAAGCTTAATTCCTCCTTCTTCGCCTGACATCAAGTGTAGCCCAAAGATGCAACAGGCTCCATCAGACCAAAGTTTTTACAAACGGGAAATTCCAGCAGATCCTGGAAAGTTTAAAATCAAAATGAAGAAAACAAAAATACTTAATTATTTTCTGATGTTTACCATACAAACTTAAGTTTTGATGAAGAGCTTGCTGGGCCTAATAAATTAGCTTAGAAAAAAGCTATGAAACTTTGATGAAACAAAATGCTTGGAAAATAAAGCCAAGACCTGCTTATAAAATGTCATTGGTTCTAATAAGTGCTAAAAACTAAATTTCAGATTACTCAAAAATCCAAACCCAGAATTGTTGCTAAAAGATGTTTTCAAAAGCCTGGAATAGATTTTAAAGAATGTTATTCACCTGTTTCAAGATTAAGTTTCATTACAACCGTCATATCTTATTGAAAAGAAAACAAGTTATCAACTAGACTTAATAATGGCCTATGTCAACAGAGATTTAAAGGAAGAAATTCATATGAAACAACTCAAAGGACTTAGTGTTTTTCTCTCTTAAAAAAAGATGAAGTGTGCCTTCTAAAACATTCGAACATCAGCTTGATGGATTGAAATAATCAGGCTGAGAATGGTACACTATGTTAGACAACAAATTAAAGTCCCTTGGATTGATTCAAAGTATTAAATGCTGACCAATGTGTAACATCTAAAATAAAGAACTTTGGAAATTATAATTGTTGTTTATGATCTGCAACTAAAGTGGCTTTATCTGAAGCAGTAAAAGAAATGATCCACCAGCAGAGAGATTTCTTTCTCTATGATTAATCCCAACCACACCACTAAAAACTTTTATTTTTAGAGATAATCAATCTTAAAATAAAAAATACATATCACTTTAAACAGAGTTCTCCCTGGGAATAAAAAAGGGCAAGGCACTTCCTCCCTGAAAAGGGCACTTTGAGTTTTGAAAGGGTTTGACTTTGATTTTTCACTTATTGTAAAGATTTATCAAGATGTGTAATATGTAATAATTGAATTTTATGCTTAATAACTTTTAGAGTAAACTTTGTAGTTTATAAAAATAATTAACGGCATGCTAAAATGCTATCTCTGTGCATATTTTTTTTCTTCAAAAAAAGTAAACTAGCAAAAAATTATTAATTGAAAGCTCTTTTTCCATAAATTAAACTGAAAATTATGAGAAAATAAATATTTAAAGATGCATAGTTGAAAATAACCCTAACAAAATGAATATTTTTATTAGTTATCAATAATTAAACCTATAAATAAATTTTTTTTCAAAATGGTATCTGGATTAAAAAAAAAAAAAAGGCAGTGTTTTTAAGGGATTGCGCTTACTTTTACATAAAGGGCAAAGAGGGTGCATTTATTAGGATCAAAGGGTAAGCAGGGTGAGCCGCCTTTCAGAAAACGTTTAGGGAAGACAGTGGTTTAACCTCTTCATTACCTCGATTCACATATGGGACATTCGCTTCTTAACTTCTAAAAACGTGCTATAAGAAAATTTATAGTTTTACCTTCACTGAAACATTTAAGCTCCGTGGGGATTCCAACAGATGCAGAACATATAAGTTATTTGGATAGAAATTCACATAAACAAAAATGATTTTTGAAAAATGTCACTAAATCCACATGCTTGAAAATGTAAATAATTTTAAATATTATATAATTTAGTTATTTTAAAAACATTTTTCTTTCTTTTGACTTAGTAGCTCCGTAATCTGAAGCTTTTAAATTTTTATTAACTTAATATTCAAAAATAATACAGTCAAGAACATGCATTTACGACAGAAGTGAAGTAGTCAAGTGAAATCTCATAGTTTATATTAGTATTCAATTTTATAACTATTCAGTGATATTTTTATGTGTATTTTAATTAATTGTTTTACATTAATATACAGTACGCAAAATAAAAAATGGACCACCCAGAATAACTTTTGGTCTAATAATCGAATCTTCACCTAAGACTCTATTTTAATGGTTCGAGGAGGTGACCTCAAATATGCTAATTAATTAGTGCAAAAGATTTGTTAAGTTATGAAATTAAACACAAAAACACATTTTCTTTGAATAAACATACCTTTTTTCCTGCCCGATTCAGATTTCAGTTAAACAAATTTTACAGTTGAGTGTAGTTGTGTAACAGTGAATAAGCCACTTTATACAAAGTAATTTTAGAGGATAATCTCTCAATGCATGATCTAAAAATTCTATGATGTGATTATTGTATTGATGATTGGAATCAATTTTTAAAATCACATAAAAGAGATAAATCAATATTTAAGAAACTACAATAGTCCACCCTATGAGATTCACTAACGCATTCGCCTTCGATTCATACTGGGCCCAACTAAAATTGATTTGTTAAACATTTCTTACCATACACTTTTTTTATTTTCTGGGGATGCACCAGAAAAAGAAGAGTTTAAGATAATGTCTTTCTTAACAATGCTATTTATCGTAGTAACAGGGAGATTTAAATTTACGTTATATGTCTTTACAGGACATTTTCAACAAAAATCAACCTTCACACTAAGAAGATTTCTAACGAAATGCTGCTAAAGGTTTAGATGTATCTTTCCCATCAGACTTCCTGACTTTCATTTATGGTGGACACAATGTCCAAGTGATTTCCCACATTTTTATTGGTTTCATTGTTTATCGAACAGTTCACATTTCTTTGTTCACACCAGTTCCCAATAAATCACCACCAATTTTTTTTTACTTTTCGCATACTTTACCGTTCAGTAACAAAAATTGGTAAGTAAACTAGAAATAAAACATTTTTAATATAAAGTTAAAAAAAAAGTTTAAAAAAATGGAAGCATGAGATAACTTCTTAAACGGGGGAAAAAAAACTTTTTATAAAGGTAGATTTAACATTGTGGTATTTGGTTCTTTTTTAGAGAAATAGCTGCTTATGCGGGAAAACTTTTAAAGCAGGAACTTCTTAAGCTATAATTCTACTGTATTTTATAGTTCAGTTATTATTTTCGAGATTCATAATTTTTTCGTTTAGAATTATTGCTATTTTTTTTATAAAAAAAATCCTGAAGTGTTTTACATACTATTTTTTTACAGAATGGGAAATCCAAATTGCACACTTGATTACCCAATTTTAAAATTATGTATTTAAATAATAACTTTTTGATGCGTTCAACTTACGCCAAAAGTATCGTAAATCCACGAGGTGTTTTTATAGTTGACAGTTATTGATTTTCATGTAGTTTTTAAAGATTCAAATTTATTTCTCGCAAGATGGGAAACTTGAATCTCGCAATAGAGCATTTACTTTCTGATGAATGATTATATTATATCTTTCAAAAGATTTTTTGCCAGTTTTGCTATTGAATTCCACATAGTTCTTAAAATCTGATATTTTTAATATGTTATTTATTACACCAAGTGAATCTTGAAACACGCATGAATTACCCTTTTTTTGAAAATGAGTCTTTCAGGGGATTTTGTTGTAAATCCACACTTTGCCGATCTTTCCTAACTGCCAAAGATTTCACGATTTTTATTTTTATAAATGTGATGACTGGTGGTAGAACGCAAATAAGGAAAAAATTATTACTTTCTCCCTCTTCAAAATAAGGGAAATATCACCCATAATATAATTAATTCTTTGATAATTATTACATTTAGTTTTATTCTATATGTGATGTGAAGTTTTTTTTTCCATAAACACGAAGTACTTATAACATAAGTACTTTGCAATAAAAATTAAAATTAGCAACATATTTATTAATTTTAAAAATATCCTGAAGAAATTGGAGTACTAGGGAGGTTTGTCGCCGAAAGCCAGAAAAATTTTTGCCACAGGTTACATAGTTAAATTTACTGGCTGAGGATATGTAAAAGGAGAAAATTAGAAAAGTATTCTATAGAAAAGATGGGGTTAATTAAGAAAACGCTTCTTTCCAAAATTCATCAGTTCTTCTGGGGGAAAAAAGACAATAAAGGAATTCAGTTTTTCACGCTAACTCTTCAGGACTACTATGAACCCCGAGATTCTTAATAACTTAGATTATTGCTTCTCAAAGGTCAAACACGTGAAGATGATACAGCAAATGCTGTAATTGGATGCATTAAAAAACATATTTCACTTCATAAAATTGTCTCAACTACAATAGACGGGGAGAAAAGTATGAACAGTGTAAAAAACGAGTATGCTACTATTTTGAAATAAATCAATCACGACAAGCTCTGAGTACAAACATTTCCAGAAGAAATTTGCAAAATTATAGAAATGGTGATTAAGATTATCGACTCCATTGCAATAAAATTTCTTAATCACCGACGGTTTAAATTTTAGTTCAAATGGATAGTGACTATGCATATCTTCTGCTAAATAACAAAGTAAAGTGGTTATCAAGAGAAAATATTTCACGTCCATATTAACAGAAATAAAAGCTTTCCTCGAAAAGGATGTTTATTATTCTGAACAAACAAAGGATCCGTAGATCCAAAAATTTTATATTTTCATGATAAACTTTTCATCTCATCGAAAATAAGCTCAATTAAAAACTACAGGAAAAATTAACAAATTTTTTTTTGATGTTAGAAGTTATTTTCTTTGAAAATAAATTATCTCTTTTTGCTCAAGATTTCGAAAGAGAAAATTATATTGATATGTGCCATTTCAATTTAGTTTTAAATATCAGAAGTTTTTCAAAAGTTTCAGAAACATCAAAGCAACACTAGCCTTTGCTGAAAAACCTCATAACTACTGTTATAGAATTACATTTTTCTTTCTGTATTACATTGGCAGCTTTGAAATCAAATAGCTGGATTTAAGAAACAAAGAATTATGGAGCTTGATATTTAAACGTCTTAGTGCTGATATAGGTAACATTGAAAAAAAAACAAATGTGAGCTTAATTTACAGCACAACTGATCTGCTTTGAAAGACTTGGAGAAGAAAGACATGCTAACTTTTGACACACACAGTAGTATTCCTAACTCATATAATCAGCTGCAAAAAACTAGCATTTGCTGTTCTTTTCATATTCAGATCTACATATTCATGTGAACAATCATTTTTAAGCATGAATCTTATCAAGAATAAATTGAGAAGTAGTCTTATTGATAAAACCAATTTCCAAACTAAAAACCTGATAAATAAATGTAAAAAATCAAACCTGAGTTACACAGGCGATTGTTCACAATAGGCGATTGTTCACAATAAAGTTTGTTCGTCATTATCATGATTTAAGTTTTATAATAGCTTACGATTTATTTTTTCTATAACAGAGTCATTATTAATTGTAATATCAAGTTAAACTATATAGAAATGCCAATATAGTTTAACTAAGACTTAAAAATTGAAGCATTCACGAAGTGTTGTGGAATGATAAAAGATGTGTCAGAAATTGAGTAAGGTATGTTAAGATGCTTTGGACATAAATTATAATTACATGCAAAAATGCCTCAATTCGCTCAAAAAAGTTCTCCAGATAAAGCAAAATACGCAAAGAGTAAAATTAACATTAAGGGGCCCAAACTTTGGATCGCTCTCCTGACCAAAGGGTGAGGGCCATATTTCAAAGATTGTAGCTATCCCTATATTTTGTTTGTTAGAAATTAAAATCCATTGAAAAAAAAAAAGGTATGTTTATTTACAACTTATACTTATTTTGCAACTTAAAATAATGTCTGTACTAATTAATTAGCGTATTTGAGGTTACCCCCTCGAACCATTAATATCGAGTCCTGAAACGTGAAAAATCTGATCATTAGATCAAAAGTTATTCAGGATAGTTCTCTTTCTTTTTTTTTTACACACTGTACATCGTAAACAAAATATCAATATGAAAATAAAGACCAATATCCACCTACAGCTGACAAGCCGTTGGAGAATATTAATTGACTTATTTCATTTAAAAAAAATTATTTAACAATATTTCCAATTATGAGATTGATTAGAATTGAGCAGTGGTGGCATAATGGTTAAGGCATTAAACTTTCATAAAGGATAGGTGTTTTGTTCCGTACTCATTTCCCAGCCCACCCAAGATGAGTAGTAAAAACTGCCTTAACTTTCACGACCTTGTTGGTTACAGAAGTGATTTAGTTAAACATTTACAACACTTGAAAAATTATTATTTAAAAAAAAAAGAGATCAAAATACAATATTAAAAGGAGAAAAAGTTTCTAATTCTAAAAGATCAATTGAATATAATTTATAATGTAAGATAGTAATATTGTGACATTAACAATCACTGCAATTACAATTCAAGGCCAGGGCATGGTACAACCAAGCAAGCAAAAGTAACAAAAACAAGATGACAGATGTTATTTAATTAAATTAATTTTTTAACATTTGTGATAAACAGATAGATTTACCATCACAACATATCTTACTGAATCAATGATAATTGTCAATCATATAATAAAAACCAAAACAAACTTAAGAACAAACTAAACTAGTAGAAAACGATTATTTAAATAAAAAACCAAGCTAATTTAAAATTATTTATGAAATAGGATCATACGAGGCTTGTAATGGTGTTTAGTAATCTTTTAATAAGAATAAATGACAGATTTCTTACTTGCCATCACTTACTCCAAAACAAAAGGTGTTCTGTAGCATAAAATTTTTTTTTAGCCCTTTCTGCTGTACGCAAATAGTGAATTCAAAACATTAAACTTCTTTTAAACAAATTAGTTGATCAAATATGAGAGTTTAAAAAATGTGTCAGAAAATTTGTATTATATAATATTATACACATGAAAAGTAATATAAACCATACTTTTAATGAAATGTGTATATTTTCAAGCAAAAGGAAAAAACATTTATAAAATTAAATCCAAATTTGCAAAGATAAATTACAAACTTGATCTTTATCCTGAAATTACATTACACTAAATAATTTAAATTTTAAGTAAAATAATCAAAACAAATTAAATACATACTTTCAAATTTCTCCAAAACAATAACTTTTCAAAACTATATGTTAAAATTGAAAAATATGAACTTAATCCAAACATACATGAAGTCAATAAACATAGAGATACAAAACTCAATACTTTTAAAAAATTTTTACAATTACATTAAATTTATAACTAAAGATATAATTTATCAAACTTATAACTTACCTAACAAATTAAAACAGAATTGTAAAAGTGTAAATTATAACATACTTTGGAATGCATAGCATTTTAACTCCTCACAAACAAGTTCTCTATAACTTGGAAGTCATTTCAACTCTTAGAATGCATAACATCTACAACTTGCTAATGCAGAAGTACTGTACAGACCTGCAACAATAAATAAACATTTATTCATTTAATATTTTACTAAGATTCTTAGTTAATACTGTCAAAATAATTCATTTGATAAATATCAAGTTAAATAAATAATCTACAACAAATACATTCAATATTTAATATTTTTTGTTGATACATAATTTCCTAAAATTACTATGGCATTTTTAAAAAAGCATCAGATTTTAAAAACTATTTGATGCAAATAAATAATATTGGAGTTTTTAACAATTTCTGAAAAGAAAATATTATTAATCACACAAAGCTATTTAATACCTACAGAATAAAAGAATCGATTTTTATAAAAAGACACCGAGTTTTGCTTTGAAATTTATTTAAAGCACAAAAATGTCTCACTTTGCATGATCTAATAATTAAAATAAATTAAGAAGCGAAATAAACACAACAACATTCACAGATTTGATACCCTAAGCTTCAATTAAATTTTGGATGGGAGTGGTAAATATTTAAATTTATTTTAAAAATTATTAAATTTTAAATTTAGACTAAAGTTTTTTAACTTTCGGCAGTAAATATCAATAAAGAGCAAGCTATATAGTTTTTAAACAACAATAACTACTATTGATAGAAGCTTGATAAACAAAAACATGTAATTAGCATAAATTATTCAACAGATAGCTTTATTTTTTTAATAAGACGACATATTTCTGAAATTTAAGTACAAAAGCATAATTAACCAAATTTAATTAATTTCTAGAATGGTAAAAATAGGCTACATTTCATTATTAAAATATTCCAAGTTATAAAAAAAATAAAAGATGGCACGCTAATCACCTCGGATAGGAATTTCTTTTATTACCTAGCTAGGCGTAACAACAATTTAAAATTACATTTTTAAAAAAAATGAAATTTCATAAATCATATGAAATCTGAAACAAAGGAAACTTAATAGTGTTTTGAATATATCACAGACTTAATTTAACACAAAGCAATCAAAAACTATATTTTAAATAAATTATTTCACTTGCCTCAAGCATTTTGATAGCTCAAAACAAACAATTCCATCTTAGCTCTCGAAGAGCACGCCATCTTTCTGCTAGCTTCTACAGAAACTATTGCCATAATATTTGCAAAAATATGAATTTTAAAATTTTAATAAAAATTTCATAACTATTATGTACGAGATTAAATTTTTTTTTAAAAATGTAAAAAATGCTGATAATTTTTTTTTTCTTCAGAAGTACAAATTCCTACGTAAATTAAATGACGCAATTATTGAGAAATTTAAAATATCAAAATAATTAACAAATTTAATTTATAAAAACAATTGAAGTATTAAAAATATTTTTTCAGGAAAAGTGCAACAGAAGTGTATCGTTCAAAACTAGAAGAAAGGTTTCACTTTATTATATCAGCTTTTATAAAAAGATATTGCTAAACAGTCCTTAAATTATTGAAAGCTAAGAAAGTGCGTCAGCGCAAAAGCCAAAACACAAATCGTATTTGCGTTTGGATTTTTAAAGCAAATACAGCCTGAAAAGTTTTTTATTATTTCAGTAGTAAAACAAAACTTGAGAGTAAGATGCTACTAAACAGCTGTCTTGGTGATTTTTTTTAAACAAATATGAAAAGATGAATTCAATCAATCCCTTAGTTTTTCCACCCAACCACATAAGGAGAATGCAGTGGCTTGCTGCAGTGCGTGGAAGCCGGGGCTAGCTTTTATCTTTGATGTTCCTGAAAAAAGGTGTGTAATCTCTGAAGAGGGAAAAACTAATAAAAAAGCCAATTATAAAAACAAAAACGGTAAAAAGTTAAATACTTCTAAGGATTTAAATTATATTTTAAATGCATTTTTATGTATATAAGTAAACAGAAATTCTTGTATAGTAAAAACATATTTATTTCAAGCATCCGTAATTTTGGCCAAAAAATGAGTGTCAAATTTGTTTTTAAATCTTAATTAAATGCTAATCACGTGTTTAATTAAATGTAACGCGTGTTTTGGCAAAGTATTTTACCAAAATATTTTGCTAGCAGTCGAATTTGTTGAAAAATAAAATTTCATGATCAAAGAATAATAGAGTTTAAACTTTTCGTATCCTTGGAGATCAAATAGCTGTTTCCTTTAGCTGAATGCCTGTGACAGTTACCCCTTCGCTCCCCTCTTTTCACACATTTTGACGAATTAGTACCAGGTTGGTGTAGAACAGTGGTTACCAATTGGTGGCCAGAGAAGCCTTTTTTGTGTGGCCCGCGAGCTGAAATATATTAGTTGTCGGTTTTTTGCAGATAATTTACGTAAGAAATCTATATGGGTTTAAAATACTTTTCTTTCTCTTAAAAAAAACCTAATTTCTTCGTTTCTTTGAAATTTAACATACCAACGGTACAAAAAAATTTGTCCATCCAGAAATTATTTATTAGAAAAAGAAAACACTTATTCAAATACAAAAATAATCGTGCATTGTTGCTCTTTTTCATTCTGTTTTTTTGTATTTTGTGAATATAATTTAGCACGTGCGTATCAGAAATTTTCTCGAAGAAATTCTTTCAATTAACTTTTTAAAACCACTCATTTTGGACGAAGTTATTTACACTTGTAAATTTTAAAACGCATAAAAGAAGGAATGAATACCATGTTTTATTTAAATTCCTTGAGTTGAATGTCGCATGAGTGGAAAAGAAGAAAAAAATTTATTTCAGATGCTCGAGAATTTTGCTGCTATAATTCTTAATAAGTTGAAAAAAATCTTAATTTATGACAGAATTAAATTTAAAAGAAAAAAAATCTTGTCACTAAGTTTCTGATTAAGAGAAGATTTAAAATGATACGCAACAAGTATTATTTGTAATGCTTGCTATTTTGTTCCTTATTATTAAAAAAACTTTGATAAAAATCTGACAGTAATATTTAATGTTCTTTCAAGCATAAAAGAGTCCTATATAAAATTTTGACAAATAAATAAAGCTGCAGCCCGGCATTTGACTGTTGTTTTTAATTGTGGGCTCGACCACATGTAAACCCCTGGTGTAGAAGGAAAAGAGGCAATTTCTAATTTTTATCATTTATATTATCTTCTTGTAGAATATTCAATTTTAAAGCCGTATACTAATTTATAAATGGTTTTATTTGCATATTATCCATTGTTAAGATAATTATGGTTACTAGAATAGTTTTTCGTGAAATTAGACTTTTGAAATTCGTCCTATGCAATCCATATAATAACTAAACTTTTAATAAACCATAACCATATAATAACTAAACTTAACCATATAATAACTAAACTTTTTGTTGGGAATTAAACTTTTTTTGAAGAATATGATGCTAAGTTTGAACGCCTGCTAAAGTTATTCCTTGTACACTCTCCCTTAAAAAAAAAAAAAAAAAAAAANAAAAAAAAAAAAAAAAAAAAAAAAAAAAAAAAAAAAAAAAACCCAAGACATAATCTATATTAGTATATCTAAGTTGCTAAGGTACATAATGTAATTAGGATAAAATCTTTACTCTTGCTTATTTTAATTAAAACCTCATTATTATTTGTACCAGTCACTTACAGCTGCTTGGTTGTCCTCCTACACGAACTCATTACTCGGGGTTCCTTATTACTTTCGATAGCATTGCTTTAAATACGTGACACTAGTAATTTAAGTGTGAATAGGAAAAGTAGGAAACGTTAACGGATTCGACACTTTGCAGCTTACTAAGATATTGTACAAACAGACAGAAAATAAGAGGAATAAAAATCGTGTACGAGCTAGCTTTACGGTCCTTAAATCAGCGAACAGTTCATACTAGTACTACACGAAATCATTTATTTCGCAGTGCCACATTGTTGCTTACACGAACTAACCGTTTCGCTGCACCATATTTGTTCTGCTACCTCAGGCAGTTTGGCGGGCCAACTACACATTAACAACTGCCATTGTAGATAATCTAATTTTAATTATGCATTATTCTGATTGATTTTCTTATATTTCAAATGACCCCTGTAGAAATTTAATTTACTACTTTCAATTTATTAAATGTTATATATGCTAATTTATTTACAGTATTGTTATTAGTAATGTTTGTAATTTTTTCCAAGCAAAAATGCCTTGGGCAATGTTTCTCCGCATCCATATAGTATTAGGGAATTGCTACGCGGCTTCACCTTGTAACTTGTCGCTTTGTAGCTTTCCTAACTCGTAATTTAGGAGATGAGAAAAGTACAAATCGGAGCAAATTGTAATAAAAAATTTGTTTTTGTCTGTAACAAAAATAAAATACAAATATCCCAAATCGCTTTTGATTGGCTGAAGTTCGAACCTCAATGGTGACTTGAAGTTCACCCAGCTTCAGATCGATAAGTACCACTTTGTTTGGGAAATCGATTTATGTTTTTATTTATCAATTTAGGAATGGTAGGATTTTCATTGTCATCCTTTTTTCCCCGATAAATATCTATAAGTAATAATTACTCTATGCATACATAATTTTACTAAAATACTGAATTTTTACTTTGTTCTTTTAGTTTGCATTCTGAAAAATCAGAAAGAATTATAAGATTTTTAAAATGCCTTTTCAAAAATGCTGTAACTTATTAAAAGAAATTACATTAGTAGCACAAATTACATTAGTACTACTAACTTAATTTCGTTAATTGAAACTTAATAACACAATGTAGTTACAATAAATTTTAAAACTTAGAAACTCCTCAAAAAAATTGAAATATCTCATATTATAAAACTTAGTAAAATTTTAAATCGAAATCAATTTCTTAAAACTTCTTTGCATTTTGCTAATTAAAATTTATATGAAAGGAAATAGATTTAAAGGGCAAAGAAAAAGTTCTAAAATTGTTTATTTCAAAGTTTTATACTATATAAACATAGTAAGAACTTTAATCATGTAGTAGATGAAAGTTCTTGCAGAATATAAATATTTTATTAAAAATAAATTTCAAATATTCCTTTTAACATTAAAACATTTTTATGAACATATAACCTAGGCATTATAACATGTTTTATTAACAGATAATTATATTAAAAACAAACATCTGCAATCTTTACTATTTTATTTTAATGAAGGGAGTTACGTTTTCCTATTTGTAAACTTTTAGCTCTTTCGTTAACAACGATCAATTAATTATCTTTGCTAAGCTCGGGATCGCAAGTAATTATAATAAATTAATAAAATGATGCGAATAAAAAAATAAAAGTTTCTCCCGAAATTTCATAGCAATATTAGCTTCTATCTAGCAGAGTAAAGATTATTGCGATTAGCAAAATAAATAAATTATATTGCTTGTTTTTTTCCAATCTGGTTTTATTTTGTTTCAATTCCTTTAAACTAAAAAGATTGCTAACAGAAGAATTTATCTACTTTGCTGAAACATTAACACATATGCTACACTTTTACATTTATGTATGAGGGACTGTATAATGATAAGCCAAATTTTTCACCAAAGGTTATATTTTTACATCAAATAGTTCCTTATTATTGATTTCAGATAAGCATTTAAGAAATTTATGGATATCCACTAAATTACAAGTCAATACATTGTATTTTTTGTACTACCTATATAGAAATGGTTTTTATATTATGTTTTTATATTACCTATATAGATGAGTTTTTTTCATCAAAAACACTTTTAAAAATGCTTTTCTCAACAATTTTAATTTATAGCATTGCTCAAAGCCTAACATGAGGCAACATAAATTGACAAATGGTGATAAAAGCCTAACGCGGTACTAATTTTCCTTCAATAGTTCACATTTATTTACGGTGAAGGAAAAGGCTTATATCGAGGAAAAAATGTTACATCTATGACTATTTTAATGATATATTAATTAAACATTAAAGAAGCAATAAAAAATAAAATAGTTTGAGAACATTTAAGATGTCATCTCCATGTCGCTGATTAGGTTAACATCGTCTAATGAGCAGAAGACAATAACTTGTATCTCAGTATGAGGTGATGTGATGCGAGGGCAACTAGTGGGAAATAGAGGCGTATCCTACAATAAAAGTATTTTTAGTAATAATAATAATAATAATAAAAGAAAAACATTCTTTGACGTTTTTACATAAATACATTTTTTAAAATTAAAATTAATGCTTAAATGTTTTTAATTTTTTTATATTATTTAAAAACAAGACATCACCAAAAAATTATCTTTTAAACTCTCTGCCTGCTTTATTTTTTTAAAAGCAAGATGTTGGATATAGTAAATGTTTAAACTAGATAACATAAATTAATTGAAATGCATAATGAAAAGTGAATACTTTTTGTCAGTTCAGTAGGGTGAGTAAGTCGAGTGGTGATTGAAAATCCGCTTGTGTAACAGATGTTTTTAATGTTTATGGAGGAACTAAAGATGCATAATGCAAATAGAAAACTATTCGGTTGTCTAATAATAGTTTTAAATCTGATAATTCAGTAGAAGATTTTTTTTATCAAGTATGTTTAAGATACAAAAGATAGAATTCGGAATTAGAAAATAATCTAGTGCTATTTTTACAAAATATTTTCTTTCTCCGTTAAATGAACTAAACTCGCATTATGAAATTATAAGAAACAATAAAAGCATTATGAAAATATAAAAAATTAAAATAAAGAACAATACTGAACCCAAAGCATTGCCAGTCGTTAATTTTATTCAGAACGATGCAAGTTTGCAGTATAAATTTTTTTTTAATATTTAAATTAGTCATTAAATTTGGGTTTGTTATATTCTACGATGCGCTCGTTTAATTTTGTAAATTCACACAATTTGAAAATTTTTCAAAAATTTGGTATTTCAAAAGTTATAAACTCTTTGGAATTATGCAAAAAAGAAAAAGAAAAAAAAGCTTATTTCTCATAACTTTATACTTTGGATAAAAGATCTCACATTCAGCTCTACATTTTGAAGAATTGTTTATAGATAAAATCTATTTTAAATCAAGATAAAAAAAAAAATTGAATCTTATTTCGTTTTACAGTACTTATAATTTGAATTTTATCCATTGCTTTTTCTCCGTTGCTCTCAAAATCAGCTCACGAGTTTCAAAGATAGTTAGCTAATAGAATTTAATATACAAACTATTTGTCCAGAAATTTTACAAAAATATTTAAACAAAGAAAAGATAAACATAAAAAAATGTGTTATCCAAGGATTTGAAGAAAACAAAAGTAACAGAAAATTTATTTATTTTACATGAAATAGTAAATAAATTGGGCTATAACTTAATTTCTAATGAAGCGTTACAGATATAAATCTTTTAAATTGCTTAAAATTATTACAATTGTTGAATATATACATATATATATATACATACATATATATANGATTTTTTTTAGTTGTATTTTGGCACATAAAAAAGAACAAAACAATCTGATAATGTTAGTGAATAATTAATATTTTCAGAACATGTGTATTCCCAGAAAGTAAAGTAATTCTCGAATTTTCTTAAAGAATCGTATGAATTATATAGTTTGTAGTTACAGTATTACCTCGAACGACCTCTTATATTTTGGTATATTTTTTATTTTTTTAACTCTTATGTATAGAATAACTGATGTCCTTATCAGACTTTGAATTAAATGAAATTGTTACGGAGACGGCTTGACAACAATCATTTTAACAAAAGTCACATTTCTGCTGACAGAATATTTTTTTTAAGAGGAATTAGGATAGTTTTTTTAGTTGGTAAAGGCAAATTTATGTCAATTAATTTGAATAGAAAATTGGAAGGAAAAAATAGACAGTGAGCTCGTTGTTTTAATTTCTGCTCACATTAAATAAACTCTCACTAAAATATTCCACCTTAAGGTCTATTTTAATAAGTCAGACATGAAGTTATAAGGATTTAAAGGAGAAAAAAAAAGAAAAAAAAAAGACGGAATTGAAATTATCATTTAAACAATATTAATTAGGGGGGGGGGTATAAGCAAGGAGAGAGAAAATACAGACCTAAAAATTTAGTATTTAGTTCATAGTGTTTGATAATTTTTTAAATGAATTAAATAAAATTCGTTAAAAAGATAAGTTCCACGAAGTTTACAAATGAGAAAGAGAGATGAAAATATAACTGTCTCCCTGCCCCTTTTGAAAATTCGAGTGTGAATAGGACAAATTGAAAATGGAAATACGGATAAAAGCTCATACCTTCGACAATTTTAATAATAAAAAATGGTTTTATTCATTGGTGCATAAAATTTTGGCATTTGGTATCAAATCAAAATGTCGTTATTGTAATCACTAATTATCATCAAATTTGACAGGTGCATATAATTTTGGTGGGGATGGGTTTAATAATTTTCATACTAGTGATGGGTATTTTTTCAGAAAAATATTAGACAGAATTTTTGCGAAATCAAACATGACTAACTAGGGAAAAACGTAGCTCGAATATTAAAAAATTATGTTTAATCGATTGAGTTTGATTTTAGAAAAAATATTTAATTTTGAATATCAGAAAAATGAAATTTTTTTAAAACAATATACACTGATGGTTAAGTACATTTCGTTACACCAAACCGTTACCCTGGTTATTTGAAGTCATTAAATTTTGTTACAATTCCATTTGATCGATTAAAATAATGGAGCGTGATGCTAGAGTAGTTTTTCACGCGTCAATAACGGCGCCAAGTAGTCGGATCGATATCGCCAACAGTAAAAGAAACATACGCCAAACCATAAAGGGGTTTCCCTATTGGTCTTCCATTGGGGAGGGGAAAGAAATGGGGAAGAATTTATAATGAAGGGGAAAACTCGTCTGGAGTGACTGTCTCTTGCCTTAGTCATGACTGCATCGAATTAAAAAGGGGCAGAAATAGGGAGAGTACATTGATGGGTGTCGTAAATTCTAAATTAATGTGATATTCCCTGATCAAGGCATCAGCAGTGTGTCATAGATAGAAAAGGAAAAACCCAGGGAAATCTGGAGTGGCTTTTTGAGAAATACAATATCTTAATTTTGTTGTATTAATATTTTCCTTCTATCATGAGTAATAGTAATTTTTTAATTAAATTTAAAACTTTCGATGTTACTATTGTTTACCCTATTTATTTTTATTAACTCGCTTTCCGGTTTCTGATGAAGATTTTTTGGAATCAAAATTTTGACATCTTTCCGACTAGCTTGAACATTCAAAACTCAACTCGATCCTTTTGACATACAAGTTTCAATTCATTCCTGATTGCTACAAGCTGTCTTATCGTGATATTAGCACCAAAAAAAGATTTTATCGTCAATCGAGTTTCAAACATTTTTCCTACTAACTAGAGCACTGATATTCTAACTGGCGCTTTGCGATGGATGGCATCGCAAATATCAATAATTTTGTGATCCCTGCAAGTGAAATTTATCGCCATACATAATCTATCGCCAATCATAATTCTGCTCAATTTCATGATAGGTTGGATTAATTAAATCTCAACTAGATCTCTTTAATTATAACTATATACAAACCTCAACTTGTATTCTTTCCATTGCCTGATGACAATACAAGTTACGATTGTTTTCGAAATGCTTAAAGAAACATTTTCACCATTTTGTCGCCAGTAGAAAATTTTGACCACTTTTCATGTAAACTAACAGCAGTATAACTAAAAGAACAAAAAATGATGAAAGTGAATAAAAATTATAAACGCTATGTTTTTCAAATGCACTTGAAAGGAAAAATTCTGTTTTTTTTCTTTTTTTTCCAGACCCAAAATGAAAAATGGTGGATGTACTATTTTTGTAATAAATCTCAACCACCACCGAAAACTCCCTTTCGAAAGTTATAGTTTTAGTTATGACTAAAGTAGAATTCTTTCTTTTTTGTTGTTAAGTCGAGTTGAATAATGTGGATTTTAATTTATTATAATATACATTATTATGAGGACACGAAACTTTAATCTGCAAATTTAAAAACGCTATAAATTTTTTTTATTCATTTATTATTATTATTATTATTTTTGCTAATCTAAATCTAAACTGCAAATCGAAAACGATTAAGGAGTATGTCAGAGTGGGTTGAAAGGAGGTGATCATTCTTTCGAAATACTTATTTTTAAAACACTAAACATGCGTGTAAATTTTATTTTAAAGTTCTTAACGTAATCAAATAGAATTATGCAACATAAAAGGAAAAATCGATGATTAATTTTTTTTTTCTTCGTATGCTTGCGTTTTTGTTAGTGGAAGCTTTTCAAGGTAAAAAAAACAATTCTTCCAGAATTGTTTTAGATAATTAAAATTAACTCACCAAAGTTAATGAAAAAATGGAAGAAGAAATGCACAAACAAGAAACTAACAGTAGAGAAATATATAAATATAGAAGAAGTAAATAAATAAATGCATCACAAACAAATAAGTATGAAAGGAAATGTCAGAACGAAACATTTAACGCCGAATCTATACTTTTCGGTTTATCTGGAATAACTAGATTAAAAGTAGGTAGTAGATAAAATTAATCAATATTAATTGATATAAATAGCAAAACTTCCGACTTACTCTAAGTTTGAGTTTAGTCCTCATCTACTAGGAATGAAAATAAAATGTCTAAAGCCACTGACATTTGTTTCAAGTTTATTGTTTCCGTAATCGTTGCACTGAGGAGATTTGAAGTGTATCTGAAAAAAAAAAAAAAAAAAAAAAAAAAAAAAAAAAAAAANTGCCAAAAAAAAAAAAAAAAAAGATTTAATTGTTTAACTAAGAGTATTTTTTTTGTTCGTTTTCATTATTAAAATTGTGATTGTTTTATTTTTGCTATTGAGAAAAAAATTGATAAGAAAATATTACATAAGCGGAAAGCAAAATTTCTGTTCGCTATTTTTTAAGTGTTGATATCATCTATTTTACATAAGTCTGGTGGTTTTTACATAGAATGCTGTTCTTTCTTTATTGGAACACTGGAACAACGTTACAACACGTTCATTACTTAAACCACTCTTCTTAAGAATACAAATTTATTGAATTTTTATACAATTTAAAAATTTCAAGTAATGTCAGAAATCTAATATTGTATATAGTATACATCAAAAGTATAATACTTCAAGGAAAAAAAAAGATTCAGGTTGTTTATTACTGATTTCACAGTAGCAAGAATATTAATTGAACAAGAGAACTAATCTTTCAACTTCAGGAAAAGAAACTGATTTGAGCCTGTTTTTCTGTTTATTTTTTCTCCACCATGCTACGGCGTAGGATTATCCGTTACTGTTGACGGAATGATGAGCATTGGACCAGTGCAAGAATATAGCGACTGAAACAATGAGACCAAATTTAAACTAAAGGTTTTCAATTCAAAAATGAATTTTTTTTAAAGAAAATATTGGTTCCTTGCCACTGTTAGAAAAAATGAAGGGATGATTTATTAAAAACAAAGAAGCTATTTTAGGGTAGTCCGCAAACTCTCCGGATCTTAAATGATTAAGAATTTGCGAATACCATTAAACCAAGACTCAAAAATGCACTAAAGAAATCAAACATAGCCTCATATGTTCACTGATTTAATTATGATAAAGAGAGGAATAAATTGTTGAAAACTAGCAGATTCAGTTAGAATCTAATCCAAAACTAGGGAAATTGGTTTTGTAATCAAAGAAAGAGCATATTAATATTAATTAAAAATAAAATTTCTTAATTTTCATACTAAAATGTTGTTTTCCAAAATATCTGCATGATACAGCTAACGCTTGCTACTGTATTATGTATATTCACAGGACGCAACATGATTTTACTCACACGAGTTTCACATTATTTTTAACATGAGAGTCACGATGTTACTCCCATAACATTACTAGCTCAGTATGATATTACTCACATTACTACTGCAGAATATTAACGTCAAAAATTAAAGCATTCAATTAATTTAAGTAGCAGTAAATATACTTTTAAAGTGTGTGCGTTCTTTGAATCGTGTGTAAATACAAATGAAGAAAAGTTATAAGCCACATTTTTTCCTCAAAAGATGGATTTTTAGCAAACTGTTCCGTAGTATTTTTTCCTAATCGATAGCCGGTACTTTACTTCCAGCAAATAATAGCAAAATATACAGAAAATTTTTTATTGCTTATCAAGGGGTCTATCTCCATAAACAGTTTTAAAAGACGTTTTACGGAGTTTTTTAAAAATGTGGCTTATCATTTAACTGTCTCAAGCCCTTCAGATATATTTAAATATTTTAGGAAGATAAAGATATTTATTTTAAGTTTTAAAATTTTATCCTAACATACGCCCATTTATCTTATTTGTCACTTGGTTGAAATTTTTTTTATGTGTGTTATAACTGATATAACAGAACTTCTTTTTGACCGGCAGGAATTTTAAAATTATTTTGCTCCTGTAAATCAGTAACGATTACTTTAATTTGTTTTAAATTTTAATTTAAAAAAAAAGATTAAAAAAAAAACAAGTTGTTTCATAAAAGTATCTAATTATTAGCTCGTAAAGAGGATCATTTACAATTCTAACTATTATTTTAAACTTGGAATATACAAGCTTGCATCGTATGTTGAGATATTCTCATATATTGTTTGTAACACTATACAATGAAAGCTTCAATCATTATACTGTTGTAAAATATAGATAAGGGATCGACTTGTAAAATTTTTCAAAGACATTAAGGAAAAGAAGTTCTGCCCACTTAAAAATATTGCACATTTTCAAAAAAATATTTACGGAATGATCTCGAAAAAAATATTAATTTAAAAATGTTAGGTTTAAAACATAAAAAAAAAAAGAAACATTTTAAAGAAAAATACGAATTTGTAAAAGTATTATACAAAAAAAAAAAAAAAAAANAAAAAAAAAAAAAAAAAAAAAAAAAAAAAAACTAATTTATTTAAAAGAATACGTACTTAACTATTTGTTTAAGAGAGTTAAGAGAAAAGCGATGGCGCAGCGATAGAAATTCCCTATCATAAAGGGAAAATTTTTCCCTATTGAAGCGATCGACAAAAGAACACCAAGATCCCTTATGGGGGTGTGTAGGAGAGGGGAGTTGAGGGAGAAGAGGGTATCTGCTCCTGTAACATCGCCGGGTCTTTAGGCAAGGGAAGCCCGTCCGCGTTTAGAGCACTCTCTACATTTCTCAGTCTGCTTTGGTTTTTGCCTGCGTTTTTTAAGTTCATCGTTCATTTCTGATTAGTTCGTGAAATAAATTATTACGACAAACTAACTGTATATATTCTTACAATATATACATTCCGATTTAGTACTAGGAGTTCTATTTTTAACATTAATTTCTTCTTGGTTAAGACGCTAAAGTGTTGAGTTGAATAGCAGTTTTAAAGCCTAACGAAATATTCCGGAAAAAGAGTTAAATATATAAATAAAATTAAAAAAAAAAGCAACTACTCTTCAAGTCTTCCAAGAACTTCGCATCTTTGGCGTCATTTGTTCTAGTGTCACCATCATCTTCGACATTTCCAGTTTTGTGTCATCAGCGTTGCTGCTCAAGTCGCAAAAACGGAGTTAGACGACCAGTTAGAAGATTCAGGTACGTACGAGGGATGAAAGGATGCTTGGGATGAATAAGGGATGCGGATGATGGGGAGATTGAATCAATATGGCGGCCGTTGTCTGACGGCTTGGTTGGGTGCCATTTCGTTTCATACCGGCTTTGCCTGCGTAAAATGATTTATCGTGATAGCGATCAAATTTTTTTAAAGATGTTTGTAAATGATGTGACAGTCCTTTTTTCTTCGAAAGCGTGTTTTTTTCTTAGCGAAACTTATTGTTGTTTTTCAGCTATTTGATTAAAATATGCTTTAAAATAAATCAACGGAATTACTCGGCGTTTTGAAAAAAAAAAAGCTTTTTATTATTAATGTAGTTGTTTATTTTAAGTTTTTTATATTTGAAACAATTCATACATTTTTTATTTCTTAGACATAAATTTTGTTAAAAACTTTGAGAGCGTTTAAAAGTAAAAATAAACAATAAAGGTTCAAACTGTGTTTGGAATATTTAGTTATTAAAAAATTCCTTTATAAAGATGTGAAATGTTTACACATTTGCATATATACTGCACAAAATTTAATTAATATCAAAAATTAAAGTGTTTAAAAATAAATAAATATCTATGTCCATATAGTAAAATAGTTCTAATTTTTTACTAAAATTGTTTTATTGCATTGAAATATTTTTGTAAATATAGGATCATTGTTTATAATAGTTTATAATACTTATAATAATTATTAATTATAAAATCTAATAGTTTTTATTTTTATGCATCCTAAAGATTGCATTGCTGATGCTATTGCTAAATATTAATGAAATTTCTGAATGAAATATTTTTATACGAATTTGTTTTTTAATTTTGTATGTATGCTTGCTTACGATATAGTTGTCACGCATCTTTTTGTCTTTGAAAATTGCATAATTTGTGTTTTATTGTATTTGCATCAAGAGTAATTAATATATTTGTTTTATTGCATCCGTTCACAGGATGTTAACAGAAAGTTAAAGAAAAGTTTTATTTATGTTTAGATAATTTATATCAAATTAAAATGTAATAAAAGAGCTGAAGTGTCTCTTAAAATTTCATAAACCCATATAGCTATGGTAGCTATTTGGTAGTTTTCAGAATGAAATTAATTTAAACCCTAAAAAATTTTTTTTTAACGAGTTTAAAATATCTGCTTTTATATTTATTCTGCTCGAAATATTTTTGCTTAAACATGGAAAATCGCTTAAAGCTTTTTTTATCCCGAAATAAAGTCATCTATTAATATTTAGGTTCTTTCTTTTATGGCACAAAAGCTCGCAGTGGGTCTTGGCTTGGTTATATTAATCTAAATCTTACTGTTCTTAATATCGGAATTCCTGTTTGAAATTTTTTATATAATATTGAGATTAACTTGCTGTATAAATAATGAGTAAGTGGAAAATATTTTAATTATTTAATTTTTACTTTTAAAACTATTTTCTAAACTCAAGCCATAATGCTTTTAATCAGATCTCGGTTTTCGTTAAATCTAAAAAATCATAGTATACATAACGAAAAATTTTCCCCCATAAATTTACATACATTTTTCTTAATGCGTATATTGATAGAAATCGATCCGCCATGTTCATTAAAGCTAAAAATAAATATTGAAGAGAAAGAAAGTAGCATATGTATTAAACAAGGTTGTTACAATATTAGGACACTCACAAATACGTGAGAAAGATTTCATCAGAAAAAATCTAATGATTAAAATGATATCGAAATAATCGTAAAATGTAAAATAAACGAATAATCTAATTAATTAATATATAAACTAAAATCCTAGAATTTAGGAAAAAAAAAGAAAAGCACTGAAATATAGAAAATACTTTAAAATTGCAATGCTAAAAAAACGATATTGTATTTGTGTAGATAAATTTTATTTAAAAGATCCTCTCTTTAATTTTTTATTACAATTTGTTTAAAATTTAAAGAAAAAAATTTTTAAAATATTTTTTTTAAAAATAATATAATAAACGATTAACAATTCAAATGCTTGAAAATATTAATGGGACTTATTTTTATGTTTTGAGCAAATTAAAACTTTTTTTCTTTGTATTGGAACCAATTTTACATTCCTATTCATATATATATCTGAACTCAGAATTGTTTGAATTGTTCTCTTGTTACGGTGATGCATGTGTAAATCTTACATTCAATTCAAATTAGATAAAACATAACTGCTAAATAAAACTTTAAAATGTTTCTTCAATAACTTAACTATTTTGGCACTTTATAAGCAAAAGTAGATGTCTCGATTGTGAATTGACATTTTCAAATGTTTAAAACTTTAAAGATGTGTATAGAGATATGATTCGAATTTTCACCCTAGACGTAGTAATGATATTCATGTTAGTTAAACAAAATTTCTTAGGTCACATGTGTAAAACCATACGTTTTTTGGATCAAATTTTTTTTTTACTCAGCTGTTGTCTAAAGAGCAATTAATATTTTTGTAAATTAATTTTTCAATCCATTCTGAACCGAAAAAAAGAAACAGAACTTTTACACAGCTGTTGTGTGATTAAAGAGTTCTTAATATTTTTCAAATAAATTTTTCAAACCCTTCTGGTTCGAAAAAAATAACCAGAACTTTTACTCAGATCAACAGCTGCAAAGAGCATTTAACTGTTGTGTGATTGAAGAGTAATTAATATTTTTGTAAATTAATTTTTCAAACCTTTCTGGACAGAAAAAAACCCAGAACTTTTACACAGCTGTTTTGTGATTAAAGAGTAATTAATATTTTTGAAAATAAATTTTTCAAACCATTCTGAACTGAAAAAAAGTACCAGAACTTTTACTCAGCTGTTGTCTGAAAGGCAATTAAAATTTTTGTAAATCAATATTTCTATCCATTCTGGACAAAAAAAAAACAAAAAAAAAGAATCAGTACTTTTACTCAGCTATTGTGTGATTAAGGAGTAATTAATTAGAGTAATTAATATTTTTGTAAATTAATTTTTCAAACCACTCCGGATTAAAAAAAAAAGAACCAGAACTTTCACTCAGCTGTTGTGTGATTAAAGAGTAATTAATTTTTCAAACCAATATACACTCTCGTTCAAAACTTTAAAAAAAGTAAAAGTACCAAATGAATTGTTTGGAATAGAATGAATTTTATACAACTATTTGGATTAAATGTATTATTTTCCTTTTAAACAAAGAATGCATGGATACAAATCATTTGATTTAAATGTATTAGCTCATATTATTTAAAAACGTTTATTGAAATCATTTCAGTAAAATTTATAAATTCAAATAAATTAAAAATAAAATGCAATGAGTCACATTATTTGAATGAAGTGTATCAATTCAGATTATCCGATTATTGTAGTACCATACTGTTATTAAAAAATATTTTAAAAAAAATTATGAAATGCTTTGAATTCAAATTATGTAATTGGAATGCATTAAAATCAAGTAATATAAATAGAATGCATTAAATGCAAACTATTTGAATAAAATAGTTTGGAACTAGGAAAACTAATAGTATAACTTGATTTAATTGTCTTGATACTTTTTATAAACTACTCTTACTTCTACTCTCTATAATTAAAACTTTCAAGTTATGTTTGTCTTAGAAAATATTACAAATTAGTTCGTTGTAATTTATCTTTTTGTTCAAGTAATAAGTGCCAATTTAAGTTAGATACATTTGTTACAAAACGCGTATCTCCCAAATTTAAGAGGAAGTCTGGAAATAATAAAATAAAGGTAATCAAATATACATTATTAAACGGATAAACAAAGGCATTTTTCTTAGAAAAGTTGCATGACACGACCTTCAAACCTTTACTAAAAAATACTCAATCTATATGTTTGAATTTTTTATTAAAATACATAGTTCTATATATTTTTAAAAGAACGATTTTTTTTCTTCAAATTTAACTTGTATTGAGTTACCATAACTGATAACATGGCAAGGGATTGAAAACGCCACGTGATATGGGAATACGGCATCTGACGTCATGGTTTACTGAATTCTGTTCTGCGAAATTTTGTTTCCTGTTTATAGTTCAACTTTTATGGTCTCCATCCTGAGTTTAAAAAAAAATAGACTGAAATAAGTTTAAAAATAAAAAAAAGTAAATGTAGACGATTAGAAAAGGAACTACACTTATTTAATTTTAATATTACTTTTGCTTTTTCTGTTTAGATGTAAAAGTTTTATGGTTTGGAATATTTTTTTAAAACTTATTTATGATGAATAAGTTAATCATAAAAAATCATTGTTTTTTACTTTATTAAAATATATATCTGCTGTAATTATGCATAAAAATTAAAATGTGAAACGCGCAAGAAGCATTTTAATGAAAATAAAATGTTTCTTGCCCAATTTCATCTATCTATCTATCTATCTATCTATCTATCTATCTATCTATATATATATATAT